GGTTGGTGATAAAATAATTTTGTCATTAAAAGTTTTAAAATATTAAAATTATTAACAATAAAAATATAATTCTCATTAAATAGTTTTAAAATATTTAAAATTAATTTTTTTAAAAAATATTTAAAATTATTTGTAACGAAAATATATTTCTCACTGATAATTTTATAATTGGTGACAAATTTTTTTCTTACTAAAAATCTCAAAATTTTGGCGTCACCCAAAAAAAATTAGAGGGAAAATCTTTGGTGACGAAATTTAATTTTTCTTCACCTAAAAATAAGTATTTATTAAATTTCGTTACCTATTATTTTTACTTTTTATTATATATGACAAAATTTTATAATTCGTCACGGATTATTCTTATTTAGTGACGAAATATTTTTTTCATTACTTTTCGTCACCATAAGTTTAGAGAGTTAATTAACTTGTGTTTTTGTTTTGAGAAAGAGAGAGAGAGGGGAGAGAAAAATTGATAAACAAAAATAAAAGGGGAAAAAAAGTTAGTAGTCTATATTTTCCATTACCGCCCAATATGTTAAAATTTTTCCCCTAAAATTGGTGACAGTATAATTTCCTCACTAAAATGTCTCAAAATATTAAAAATTATTAGTGATAAAAGTATATTTCTCACCAAATGGTCTTCAAACATTTAAAATCAAGTTTCTCAAAAAAAATATATATAAAATTATTGGTGACGAAAATGTATTCCTCGCTAATAATTTTATAATTAGTGACAAATTTTTTTCTCACCAAAAGTCTAAATTTTTGGCGCCACTCAAAAAATATTAGCGGGAAAACCTTCAGTGACGAAACTTAATTTTTCCTCACCTAAAAAGAAGTATTTGTTGACAAAAATAAATTTCGTCACCTATTATTTTTATTTTTTATTATACGTGACAAAATTTTATAATTCGTCACGGATTATTCTTATTGAGTGACAAAATTTATTTTCTTCACTACTTTTCGTCACCATAGGCTACTTTTCTTGTAGTGATGTCTGCAAAACTTCTGGGAGCGGCGGTTCCCCCGCTCGAGCGGACATCATCAATTCTGGGTTTTCCAGAATTGTTCTTCAAGTTCAAATTCGACCTCCAAAGGTCCAAAGCCCACAATTTTGGTTTCAAAACATGCAAATACAATATATATCATGAGTATACAAGCAAGATGAGGTCAATTGCTCAAAACCATGGCCCAATTTTTCAAAATAAATCGACATTCCTTCAGTATAATTAAGGCTCATGCATTCAACCCTCATATAAGCTTCATATCTTCTATAATCAAACATGCATGTCAATTTTTGACCTCATTTCCATTTCAAATAGCACCAATGATGCTCATAAACATGAAAATCAACAAAACCATGCTTGCATGTATCCTTCAATGCTCAATCTTTCATAATTCACATATTACATGCTAGATTATGTAATTTCATAGGAATTCTCTACATGCATGCACACATGGACTTCAATCTTAACTTAATCAACTCAACTCACGATCTAAGTCACCATTTAATCTTCAATTCAAAAAATTACAACTCAAACTCATGAGTTAAGGGTTGATTACTCACCTAGGAGCTTTAATCCTCACAATTGAAGTTAATCCTTGAGCCTAGCTTTCAAATCTCACAAACCTTGAGCCAAACTATACAATTCCTCCTTTTTCCCTCTCTAGCCGACCCTCTCTCTTTTTCTTTAAGGTAATCTCAGCCAAATGAATACAAAAAGAGGTATTAAGTGGAAATGGCCCATTTAATTAAGCTCCTTCAATCACACTTCTTTAATATTAAATAATTGAGCATCATTTCATTAATTTAATCTATTTAATCTAATTCGAATCAATTTTTAATTAAATTTCACCGTAGGCCCTAAAAATTACACCAATCACAATGGCGTAGTCAATTTCGGTTTCTGTGGCTGATATGGCCTTCAACTTAAATTCCAAAGCAGATAATCGAACACATATTCCTACAGTGAACAGATAGAAATTCAAAACCACATATATTCATATAAATGGCACTCAAAATCATATCAAACACATAATCACAATCACAATTAAGATTAATTAGCATAATACGGACCAGGGTTATCATAATATATCTTTATCTTTTTGTGCACAATGCAATCTTGAAAATTTAACAATTCAATAATTTCAATGTAGTTCAAAGGGACGGTAAATACAACTCAGGTAATTTCTAGGTTGGTGTCTGCAAGTAGGCATAACAAGCACTACCAATCCCCACTTTATCAGTTGCTAACCAGAAGGCACGTGGTACCACATCTGCGCGTGTTTCAATTGTTCACCACGGACACTTAGGCTAACTTAACCAATACCACCTACACCCCTTATCTGAACTTACCAATGTATTTACCCCCAAAACAAATCAACATGATCTTATTTCACAAAACAATTTCCTTTCTCAAAGCAATACTTTTTTTCCAATGCAATATTCAAAATCAATTGCATAAATGATAAAATGGAATGACAATGCTAATGTCCAATGTAATAATAAAGTTTCATTTAAATATCTCAACAATGCCCATTCCAAAGGTAATGATAATAACATCAAATGCCAATGCAGTATATTCTATATTAATGTCTTGAAATTTCTCAATTCATCCATACAATCTTCTATTGTGATCAAATTCTACATCTCTTGTCATTATAACCTCATGATTCACTTATAAATAATATAATATCAACCTTCATGCATTTTCTATATATTCATCATCATTTTTAGCATTTGGTCTTTCCAAAATAACAACAAACTATTGCTCAAGCTTTCCAAATTCCACAATCTCTCATGAAATATCTTCATTTGATACAACTATAGAATGTCCTCCATCATGTACTCATATAGCAAATTATCAAGTATCAATTTCATAATATCACAACTTTTTCTCAAAATTTCCAAATTCTAGGGTTTCCACCAAAACAAGATTTTTGTTCCATTTTTGAAAAGCTTTTTCCAAAACAACCCCCACACCTTAGAACATACTCATATTCTCAAAAGTTTTGGGAAAAATAGTTGAAATCAACTTCCACATCATCTAGGGTTCAACAACCCAAAATCATAACTCAAAACATGATTAAATGCTCAAAACATGTATAAACTTGCAAATATATATATATATATATATATATATAACTCAAAGATTATCCCTACCTCAAGCTTGGGAGATAAAGATGAAAAAACCCTAGAAATCAACGTTGACAAAAACACGATCCAATCGGTTATAAACATAACCCTCGTTGCTCTCTTCGATTTGGTGTAAGAAATCCCCTCAAACTCTTAAAAATTGAAGCTAAATCTTAGAGAGAAGTTGGGTTTGGGTGTGTTTTTAGAGAGAATTGAGAGAATAGATGGATATAGAGAGAGGGAGAGAAGAAAATTTATGCAAAAAACACTTTTGGCATCAGTTTTGAGGAAAGGAGCATGAATTTTGAGACAGATGCGCTGAAATCCGCACGTGTGGTTTCAATTTCATACGAAGGGAATCTCCATCCATATGAGTAGAATTTTTTTCCTTAACAAACGGATTGCTCCAGAGAGTTGCCCAAAATTTTAACCAATATTTGCTCGAGCAGTTTTCTGCCCAAAAACTCAAAAGACTCTGCAATGATCCGTTCAGGCGGCTACTAATTCCACACAAGCGGTTTTTGCCCAAAAAGCCAAAATTTGATTTTGTATTTCAAAACAAGTTTCAATGCTCAAGGCTCAAAATTTTTAATCCGGAAAAGTTACGAGAGGTTAAGTAGGAATAGAAGGGAAATCTCAAAGACCTGATACAGTAAACTCAACACTGAAAGAAAAGCATACTACCTTACTACACAATACTGTTCAAGCACAAGACTCAAGACATCACATTATTTTTATGAATAATCTATTCAACAAATCATACAATGTGAACAATTAAAATAATTCAAATAGATGCGGTACACGGTCAAGCTTCACAACATGGATGCTGACTGTTTATATTTTATGTTTCTAAACAAATCTTAAAATGTACAAAAGTTTCTATACAAGCTCCACTTGGATGGGGTCTACTCCACGCTCTATTAAAATGATTTGAACTCTTTGATTTGTAAAACTTATCAAACAATTCATGTAAAAACTAAACTGATTAGATATCAGTAGTTATATAATCAAATTATATTTGATTTTAAAAAATTAAAAAATTATTCTCAAAATCAAATTTGTGGTTAAATTTTTTTTTAGAAGACAAATGTAATATGATTATGTAGTTATCCAAGTCCAATTAATTTAACTTTTTTATATATAAATAATCTTCTAACTATTCTATAAGATAAATAATTTAAATCATCTTAACGTTCTATAAATAGGCCCACCCAAGAAGGACAATTAGGCTCCTCGTGCTTGGGCACAATAATATCCCAACTCCATCCCCGTTTGAAAATTGACTATTTAAGTTGAGTTTTTAATCTTTTTTAGAAAAATATGTATAGAAAAATAAAAAGAGTGATCTGACAATTTATAATACAGTAATTTTTAAATTTTTGACTACAAATTCAAGTCCCCAAATGGAGCCTGTTATTAAAGTAGGAAAATTTTAAGTTAGTTTATGTTAGCTTGATATATATATATGTTATTTATTTATTAGTGGGTGTATTGGTAAATCTGTAAAAATATAAATTTTGATTTTGATATAAAATATATAGTAGTAAAGATATATATATATATATATATATATATTGTGCCAAACTTTTTTAAGGGGTTTTGCTAATAACCATCTTTAGATTGTCAATAAGCACCATAATTGGCCAAAAAATTTGTAATTCCAATACATTTTTCACACATTCTAAAACACTTTTACACATTTTTTCAATACTAACAACAACTCTTAATATTGTTTTTTAGCATTTTCTATTTTTTAATAACTTTTAGGGACAATTGAAACCTTTAGGAACAATTCAGGATCTATCACTTTTAGTTTATATTCGTAACTTGATATACATTTTGGACATATTTTATTTTCTAATAATTTAAGTTTTAGTGACATTAGTAACTTGACCCTTTCAATTTATATGTATATATCACAAAGAAATTATAGTGGTTTTTATTGATAAATTCCATATTTATAACTTGTATTGCATTTAATTCTATTCATAATTTACAATTCAATTCCATAACTTTTAAGGAGAATTATTTAACAGTTAGACAAGGAAAAAGAAAATACACAAACATGGACGGGTGCAACGTGCACCACACCACAAATTCACTTGCACCCCACATGTTTTTTTAATTTTTTTCTATACCCACTATCAAGTAATTCTCCCTAACTTTTAAAAAGACCAAAAAAACCCTATCTTTAAATTTGGAAATGAAATCTCAATTCAATAGGTAACTTAATTATAATATGGGAAAATAACCAATAAGTCCTATTTTACTCATAAGATTACTATTGAGTTCTTTCAAGTTTCAATATGAATAACTAATTCTTATTTTTCATAAAATATTTTCAAAAAGTTCATTACTCCATAATGATGTATGCCATCTCAATTTTACCACTCATTTAATATGAACAACAATTTATAAATATTTTTTAATTTAAGTAAAGTAATATTTTTTTAATTGTAGAAACACTACAAGAATTCACACATTTGCCAACCATTTTTGCCGACCAAAAAAATTTTGGTCGCAAAAAAATGACATTTGGCGACCAAATATTATTGGTCGCAGAAGGTTATATTTTGGCGACCAAAAAATGAGTTGGTCACAGAAAGTGGTATACTTTTGCCGACCAACTACAAATTTGGTCGAGGAAGGTCACATATTTTTTGGCGACCAAAAATTTGGTCGCGAAAAACTTATTTTCAACAACAAAAAAAATTAGTCGCCAAATTAGTAGTTTTAGCAACTAATATTTTAGTCGCCGTTGATTGAGATTTGGCGACTAAAAAAATTTGTCGGTGAAAGAACCTGTTTTTGCGACTAATTTGATCTTTTGGTCGCCAAAAGTTTGGGGGGAAATTTGAAACGTGGGGCGGGAATTGAATTTCAGAAAAAAAAAAATTAAAGCCCTGATCTCCCTTGTCTCTATAAAAAAAAAGCCCTAACCTGTGTCTCTCTATGTTGGCCCGCCCCTCCCACTTTCTGTGTTCTCTCTCTCAATCGGTGCCCACTCTCTCTAGCTCACCGAAGTCCCTCACCACCATTGCTCACGTCGGTCGCACGTCGCCACCGCTGCAAATCGCCATCGCCAATAATTTTCTACTTCACACTGTTGATGCATCAATCAAACCCAGATTGGGGTAATTTGGTTTAATATGGTGATATGTAATAAGTTTCTCCTAATATTGGATCTCTAGTAATCAATTTCCTTTGTTGAGAAAGAACCCAGATTGGATGTCTCTCTCTCTCTCCTTTCTCTCCATCGGCATCAATTTTCTTCCTATGAACGAAGATCAATCGAAAACAACGACATCGATCGCCTCCTTCTCGTCCATTCCGATCTCTCCTCTCTCATTCACTAGGTAACTAATTCGTACTTCTAGAGAGAAATGAGATAGCAATTTCATATTTGATCGAACAATGGTTTGGAGGAAATTGATTCACCGAACTGCATCATTCTCTCTCTCCTTCAATTTTGTCACAAACTGCATATATATATATATATATATCTGCTACGTGATCAGAAGGAAGACTACAGATGATTAATCTGCATATATATTAATCTGATAGATTTTACATGATCAGAAGGAAATTGTTTTCATCAAGTTAGACGTCTTTTTCGTGATACAGATGATCAATTGCTTCTCTTTCAACCTCTTGGCCTCTAACCTAGGTAATAAATTCTCACCTGAACAATTTGATCTCTTGTTCTTGAACTTCACAACGATTCGTTTAGGGCTTCACATGTTTATTAAATCAATATTAGTGTTGTTGGAGATATGGGTTTTATTAGATTCGTATCAATTTTGATTGGATTCGATGCTAAATTGAGGTTTGATTGAGTTGTCAAGCTATTACAATTCAAGTATTAATGCACCAAACCAACTGATGGTTTGAAAACACCTATATGGTTCCTGGAATTGTATAATGCATACATACTAATGAAATTTTTTGAAAGAAGTTTATGCATTGGTTCTAGATGTGTTGAAAGGGTACAGTATAATGGTTCATGATTACGAATGGGTGTGACTCTCTTTTTTATTTTATTTCAATATCTGCATACCATTTGGAGTTTCATAATTCTCTACAGATGTATTGTCTGTCTGCCTAAAGTACTGAACTTTTATTCTCATGTGTATTGTAGGGGCTTTTTGGTAGATAAAAAGAGGGGGTTTAATTGTTAGGGGCTATGTTAATATATTTAAAGCTCTTCTATGCAATGTGACTCAGCACGTGCACCTGCGCCTGCTGATTGATTGATTGTATTGGATCTGCACAAATTGAACACCTGACAACTTGATTTAATATTATACCTGTAAAAGAGAATGAGAGGAAATACTCAAAAGCAATTGGACCATTGGTATCTTGTGCGACTCAAGTTGTTAGTAAAAATATTGCTATCAGCCAGTCTCTTGTAAAAATATTGCAATGACCTCGGTTGGTTAAAAATTTTTTAGCATATAGTATTACTAACCTCTACACCAAGGTCACAAAGACCAACTACAGTCATTGCCATGATATTACACAAGGTTCTGAATGAGGTAATCTCTAAACATCTAATCACATTTTAGCTAACATCTAGTGTTCTTTGCGTCTTTGTATGAAAAAAAGAAAAAGAAAATGAAGTATAGGTTCCTTGTTTGTGGAATTGTCGTTGATTGTTTGTGGAACTGTCGCTGATTGTTTGTGGAACTGTCGTTGATTGCATTGGTTATTATTGATATTGGAAATTTCCTAGGTCCTTATGCAACACTCATCTGGTAGTGATTGACTAAATGAAACGTACATCGATTACATTTTTTTCCCCCTTCTTATTTGCCCATAGTGGTCCTCATTTTGATTGGGTGTGAAACATTTAATTGAATGTGAATATTGGTGGTTCCTTGTGTTAATTAGTTATGCTCTTATAGTGAAGTCAAAATGTAAAATAAACCCTTAGAGCATCTATGTATAATCATTCTAGTATTTGGAAGGAGAGGCATAATTTATATTTTCATTGTTCTGAAATCTAAATTTGGGTTTAAAGATCTGCGAAAAGTATTGGGGCTGAACGTGCTGGTTTGTTTCCCTTTGAAAAAATGTTCTTATAAACAATAATTTATTTGTATTTCTTTAAAAGTTTATTCAATCTCTCTTTTTAGTTTTATAAGTTAGACTTGGTCTAGCTTAATTGTGGTCGTTTTCCCTTTCCATTTCAGTAAATGTGTATGTTCCCAAAGATAGAGTCACCAATCTTCATCAAGGATATGGCTTTGTGGAATTCCGAAGCGAGGACGATGCAGATTATGTAAGCTATGCTTCATTGCTCGTGTCATTGGTTATGCTTTTTGTACTTTCTTTATTGTTCATCAGTTATGCTCTTTGAATTTATTTTACTGTTCTCTTGAGTTTTGCTTTCCCGACTTCCTGGTGGCTGTATGATTAGTTCTTTTTTTTAATTTTATTTATCTATTATTTTTTAAATCCACAATGCAGGCAATAAAAGTTCTGAATATGATTAAACTTTATGGGAAGCCAATAAGAGTGAATAAGGTGTGAATGTTTATCCTTGTCATGCATCATTTTCTGTGTCTTTATGCTTATGCTTAGGATATTGCCACAGGAGCCATCATTAATGATTTCACGGTTTGACCTTCAGAGCCTTTGTTTGAATTAGATTTAAAATCTGATCAATAGTTTTATCTTGTTGTTTTTGGGTTCCAGGCGTCTCAAGATAAAAAGAGCTTGGATGTTGGAGCTAACCTTTTGAATTGGAAACCTTGATCCTGTAAGAAATTTGATGCATTCGAATGTATTTTCATGCCTTGTAAACTTCTATATGCCTATGACACAGTTTTTCAATTTCAAACCTGGCTCTGATTTTCTTTGTAGGATGTGGATGAGAAACTTTTCTATGATACTTTCACTGCATTTGGAGTCATTGTTACAAATCCCAAGGTCAAACTTCTTTTCTCTTGCTCCCATATAGTTGTGTTGTTTGTTTCTTATTGATTTGTGTCTCCCTTTTCTGTTGTTTACCATAGTAGATTCTATGCTTCTTGAGAATTGGCTTGATGTTGATTCAAGGTCTAATAGTAGTGCGTCAAATGACAAAGAGGAAAGTGGTTTTTATTTATTTGAACCATTATACTGAAATTCATTTATCTTTGCTTGTGACATTACACATTGGCTTCTTCCTATTGGTATACATTTTTAACTGTAAAGTTATTCTATGTCCTACTTTGACCATGAATTTCTGTGTCAGCCCTTCTTCATGACAATGGTTCAATGCTTAAGGCTTTGTTTGGTTAGAACTAAAAATATACATATGAGAATGTGAAAGAAAATGAAAGTAGAGTCAATGAAAGGAAAAATAACTTTTGAACATGCATTTTAGCTAGTAGAAAGTTTTTGCAAAAAATTACAAGAAAATAAGATTTTATTATTTAAATTTCAATTGAAAGGGAGTTAAAAGAAGGGCAAATTACCTTTCAGTGGTGACTTATAAAGATTATTACAATTTCATGAAAAAGTTTATAATTTTAATTATTAATATTTATAATATTTGTCATGAAGAAGAAGGGCTGACCTGATACACTATGACCAGTAGTTTGTTTGTCATACGAAAGGTGGAAGTGGAAAAATTGTCAACACTTGGAATTTTAGCAATGCTACTCAGTCTAAGTTGGTTCAAGTTACATTGTAATTGAATTTAATTTTTTGAAGTTAGTATTCATCTTGCTAACCTACAGCTGAGCATAGAAGAAACTTATAAAATTAAAAACTATGGCTATGTGCTTAGAGAATCAGCTTAGGTCTTTTATGGCCTGTATGCATATAACTATTGAACCATCACCGCTCTAGCAGAATTTTTTATATTAGTATATAAAATAATTCTGTGATGAGAAGATTGTATTATCATTCCTGAATATTTCAAATTTTAGATAACAATCTTAGTGGCTGCTGAAGGACTACATGAACTGGCCACTAATTTTTTTGGCAGTGGAGACTTGAAGGAAGCCTTGCAAAAGCTAGCTTCTTTCCCTTCAAGAAGAACACTAGTAAGAATAAAAATAATCCCTGACTAAAAACCTCTGGATTATGTTTCTTCCATGTCTAGCAAGGAATTGGTATTGTTTTCATGAAACTTTAATGGCCCTGTTTCATTTACTAATCACCCTTTTTTTTTATATTTTATTTTAAGTGCATGGTTGTTCTTTGATATTGGAAACAAGATTTGTATTATTAGATGTAGTGCACCCTACATCTAATGGAAATAAGATTTGTATTATTGATTTTATTCCCCATTATGTTAACCACTGAAAAGTTTGGTTAAACTTAGTAATAACATTCTATAGGTGAATTACGTATGTCTCCATTGTGTTAAACCAAGTATGGCTATGTCTACCGTTACAATTCACATCCTCGGTGATGTGCCTTCCTCTCCACTTGTTGATATTGTTGCTTCAAAAACTCATTTTCTGTTGGGTAGCTTTGCATGGTAAGATTGTCACAAGGGAGGCTGCAGTACATAATCTGCTGTTATAGTGATAAATTAAGCTTGGAGGGTATAGTGTGTTGTGCTGTCTTAAAATGATGGTTTATAGATTGTGTTTTGGTTCCTTTTTTTTGTTTTTTTTTTTGTTGGGGGTGATGTGAATACATTCCAATTGAACATGTTGTGGATGTTATTTTCTCATGAATTCAAGATCTGTTATATTTTTTTACTTCTGTGTTTAGATGTAATTTATTCATTCATTTAATTGCTTGATGTTAGAATTTAAAATATATCTGTTTGATATCAAATGATAATTCTGTTCACATGCTTCTCACAAACCTGTTGGGGCAAAAATTTCCATTAATAGTTGGTTGACATGGATTATTTCTAGGCTGAACTTAGAGCAAGTGTTTTTGAGGCAATTGAAGAAGAAGATAGGACAATGGAAAAGGAAGAAGGTTTGCCTCCTGCACTATTGGGTAGCTGCAATGACTGTGCAAAACAACTTCATGCTTCACCTTCAGGTTCCTCTTCAAATCTATTATTTCTCCTTTTTATTTATTTACTATTTTTTTAATTATTTTTTATCATAACTTTGAAGCTGTTGGGTGTTTATATTTTATAGGCTTAATACTTTCATAATTTATTTATCTTATGCTCCTGAAAGTTGTCTTGTGTATGACCATTGGAGTATTGATCTCTTCTTTATAAAGTATTATATATATATATATATGACCATAATGTGTTAGGTAGTGGGAATGTGAATTGACTAATTGAAATACTGTTGGCTTTTTGGCTTTTCGAAGGGTATTTTTGTAAATGTGAGCGTGCCAGCAAGGATCAATCAGTCCTTACAGAAATTGTGATTACCAACCAATTACCAGACGATTGTGTTTTAGTTCTTTCAGCCTCAATGAAGAGGACTTTTACTGGTGGCTTGACTTAGGAGAAATTAAGAGAAATAACAAGTATTTCATAAAAATGAAAAACTTACAATAGTCCAAACTCAGCCTCGAAGAGGTTTACAGCAACAGTCCACTTGAATCTACTTGAGACTACTCCTATGAATTGAAGTGCAGTGCAGATACGTAAAGTGCAGGTATTGAAAGTACAGGAATGTAAAACTGGAAAGTAAAATATGAAATAGGGACTGGTATGTATGATCTGAGTTTTATCCCTTTTCCTGGGGGCCTCTCTGCTATTTATACTTGTCAAAGATGACCTTCGAACTGCTCTTCGAACTGTCGAACTGCTCCTCCATGATCACCATCTGCAGTTAGGCTTCCCTCCTGTATTTGAATTTGAATATGAGTAACCGTTGAAGCCACGTCACCTTGCGTTTCTTTACTGATCCAATGTTGCTCAGACCGTGTGAGAACCAATTATCATCACCACGTGTACGATCAGGATTGGAAACTTAAATTAATTTCCAATAATACCCTTATTCTGCCACATGTCGGATTGTAACTGGCTTTTACAAAATATATAGCTAACATTACCCCCCGCACTAATATACCCAATACTTGGTGATATTAGTGGACCAGGAAGCTTTTCCCGCGCTTTTGGATCGTGTATGGAATTCATCTCCAGGAAACATAACCGTCACCTATTTGATGATTATTTGCATTAATTCCCTTTTGATTCTGTTGGATATCCCAACACCTTAGTATTCGAACAGACCATGGCTAAACCAACTCCCCTTTCTACTGATCAAGCATACGAAGAGTCATTGGGTAATGCTGATCCCCCTCGAAAGAACCTCCACGCATTCATTAGCCACCTTTATCCACCTTCCTATATTCAGGTTATGGACGCCTTTGCAAATTATCATCCTTTGGACCACGAATATATTGCCCTTAAGACTTCGATTCGACAAACTACAGCCATAGATACAAAAAGTTCTTCCTCTGATTCTTCCTTGTATTTCGAACAAACTGCTTTCGATCCCTTGATTCAGCAATTTGCAGCCATGGATTTAGGAAAAAATTCTGCATGGGATGAGGCTACAACCTCTTCATCTCCTGGGGCCTCTGGCTGGACCAACTGGTCAACACCTGAGACTTATGATTTGAGGGAGCGAATCAATCACCATTTCGTTGAATTCACTGACCCTTTGGAATTTCCTTCCTACGCTCGAAGTTCAGTGGTCTATCCTTATGTGCCCATTGACCAACGACGTAGCTTGGAGGAAAACTTGCTTGTGGCTTGGTATACATCTTCTATACCTACGAAGATAGTGCCCGCTATCCGGCGCTCAAAAGAAGCACAAGGGTACAACCCATCATTCTTAGCCAAGAAGGCAAAGATCTGCTCTTTTGACTGGCTTGCTTATATTAATGCCTTTGTTCCTTCCGCTCCCGCGCCATCTCCCATAATGGAAGCATCCACACCTTCTTCTCCATCCTTTGAAGCTGAAGCATCTACATCTTCTTCTTCACTGTTTGAAGCAGAACCAACCACTCCGTCTCCTCCTCCTACTTTGTCCTGGACGGAGAAACTAAGGCTTGCCCTTCCAATGGACAAAGTTTTTCCACCTTACCAACCTCCGTCACCCCCTTCTCCAGCCGAGCGAAAGCAAGCTCAACTTTTGCTCGCGGCTTTCTCCCACCTGCCCTTCAATGTTCTTGAGGATGACACTCCTCTTGAGAACTTTCGATGGGCTTGTGATGTCCTGACTAGGGGTTATGTCCTCAACCCTCTTGCCCAAGCAGAGCTTCATTTGTTTTTGGACCAACTTCCAGTGCTCCTTTATTGGCATCGGAATTCCATGGTCACTATGCAATCTTTAGACCAACTTTCGTCTCTGCGAATTCAGGCCCAGTATGAAGCAGAAAACTTCACCGAAGAATTCGACGACTTCAAGAATAAAGATTCTGCATATTGGGATGATTCGATCGTAGATGAATTGGAACAAAGATTGAGGGAGGAGGCTTTTGAAATAAAGGCTGAAGAGCTCTATTATGAAGTGCGAGCACATCAGCTCATGCAGCCAACTCTTGAAGAAATAGAAGATATAATAAAGAAAGAACAGAAATTCATTGACCATTGTTGGACTAAATTTCATGATCTTGTTATCTATTCTATTCCTTATTTTTATGAACTTGAGTTTGTACCCAAATGGGGTTATTCAATGTAATCTCTTTATCTTTAATACAAACAAAGTTCTTCTGCACTCCTTTTATATTTTAAAACTAATTTAGAGCTTCGAATTGGACAACCTCATCCTTCAAATTATATATTCAATCATTTTATTTTAATGATAAATAATGAACACTAGAAGGAACCAATATATGGTCATGGTTGATATAGCCAATCAACTTTAAACTGATCTCTTTCGCTTCGAAGGGTAACCTATGGCAATTCCTTCTTACACATATAGAAACCAATGATTGGTTTTAGATGTTTCGAACAGTGCCCCTCTTCTTTAAAGAGTCCTAGGGTTTGCTTCGAATGTTGTCACTTTGACTGATAACCTTCAAACAGGTCTTTGGACTTTTTGAAGTAGACCAATACTTTGAGCATTCAAGCATTTTTAAACATGTAGTATGCTTCGAAGTCGGCTTCTGCATTTCGAAGCCGTTGTTATTTGAAATTTAGCGCCAAAATTTGGCTTCGAAGCTGGCATCAATGTGCTTTTTCCCTCCAGAAATTATCGATGTTGAAAGAGATTCCTTGTATTCGCACGTTTTAGTACTTAACGACCTACGAGATATATTCCCGAACACAAAAGTTATTTAAAACCTTTTTACTCTGTGCCCCGGAATTGCTTACGCATTCAAACCCCCTTTAGATTTCCATTCTCTCTACTCCCTTCTATATTTTCCGAAAAAACTCACTATCAATGGCTTCTCCCTCATCAAAAGTTCCGACCATAGAGCGCGTAAGCTCATCTGTGGCTTTGAAACGGCTTATTGATGCTGAATGTGAGAAATACAAGGGTGATGAGAAAAGTGCTATCGATGGGCGTATCTTTATCCCTCGTCGCCATGTGTAGCGAGAATATGTGCTTGGGCCCATTTTCAAGGAGATCCCTTCTGAGCTTCCTGCCCTATATCCTCGTTTGGAGAATCAATGTCTTCTGTGTGAGGGTGGTCTCGACTGGAAAGCTTGGAAAGTCAATCGTCCTCACCGATGCTGGCCCACGATGAGACCAGAGTGGCAAGAATGGTATGACCGGGTTGTCCCTGCTAGGACACTGGACCTTCAAGAACTCTGCCTTCTCGATGCTCTTCGACTATCTAGGGTAACTATCTCAGAAGACCCTTTTCTAATTCCTGTTGCTTTATGTTTTTGGAACCCTATTTTCAATTTCTTTCAGTTTAGGTGTGGGATGATGGCTCCCACTGTCCTTGACATTTGCCATCTTTTAGGAGTATCTCCTATTGGTACTCCCATTACCCCAGATTTCCCTGATTTAACGGTCCCTTTCCTTCTCCCTTCTTTTATTTCCTCTTATAGTGATTTTGTTAGAGCTGAGAATAAAAAAGAGGGCCCGGTAACTGATAGGGAACTCTTTTCCTTCTTGTTATACTGGCTTTGCAAATTTCTCTTCTGTACTTCTTTCCAAAGAATAATGTCAGAATTTGCTCCTCTTGCCAAAGCCTTCGTCTTGCGAAAACGAGTAGCCTTGGCCCCATATATCTTAGGTCATATATATAGAGCTTGCTCTGTCTTTTGTGAAAAACCTTTAGATGCTAACCAAGGGGGGCCATTCTGGATCCTTCAGCTTTGGCTTTTCGCCTACTTTACCGACTTGCAATCCAAATGCCTCAAATTTTCTGAGCCGTTTTCTCTTACCCATGGCATAAGATTGGCCAATGCTTCACTCTATCCCTCTACTTTTTCCTTTTATTTTTCTTTCTTTCATCAGCTACCAGCCACCCCTCCTCCTCATTACTTCCGTCCCTTCGAATCCAATATTGGCCCAACTTGGTTGAATAATTTCCTAAGTGACAAGCTCTGCACCTTACCTGTTCATAAGGAGATATGGGCTTCTCTTCTAATTCCTCGAGAGATATTCACCGGGACCACCAATCCTAGAGCTTATAAATGTATAGCTGAGCCCTATTGTCCTGCCCAATTTGCTAGACAATTTGGTCTCACACAAGGGGTCCCAATCCCTCTCTGTAGCAACACCAATCTGAGCCTTACTAAGAGGGATTTGAAGGTTCGAAAATCAAGATTAGAAGAGGCAACCTTCAAGTTTATGGATGATCTGGCCAGTTTTGAGTTCACCCCTTTCTCTCCTCAAGGCACTGAATTGAAGAGATATCAAAATTGGTGGGTGAGCAACATGGAGGTTTATTTGGCTATCCCCCCTCAGAACCTATTGGAGGTGCTGGATGTGCCCAAGCCCAAGGGAGCTGAGACTGTCATTTCTTCCATTGTTTCAATTACAATACCTGC